GCGTGGCGCGGGGGGGGGCGGGGCGGGGCGGCGCCTCAGCCTCAAAATGTCCGCCACGCGCGGCCTTTGTGTGCGGCCGCCACGTGCCCGGCCCGGCCCGGCCCCACCGCCGCCTCCTCCTTCTCTCTTGCAGCAACGAAGGTTTTGGGAACAGTGAAATGGTTCAACGTGCGGAACGGCTACGGCTTCATCAACAGGTGAGCGGCGCGGCGCCTCGCTGGCCCTGCCCGGCGGCTCGGACGTGTTCCGCGTGTCCCTCTTCTGTCTCCTCCTTCACCCGCCTTTGACGCGCTGTCACGTGCCGCGGGAACCGCGCGTCGGTGGCCGGAACGGAGACGCGAGCGGTGGGTGCCGCGCCCTCCGTCCTTTGCAGCGCGGCCGCCGCGCGCTCCGAGCCCCCTGCTTTAGGCAAAGCCGGCCGGGCCCGGCCTGTGGGAAGGAGGAAGGCGTGCGGGTTTTTTTGTTAACGATTTGCGCCGCGCGGGTTATGGAGTTTAACTCGGGTCCCTAGCGCCCCGGTTACGAAGGACTAAAGCCCAGTGCGGTTTTAGGCCCTAGACTAAGCATTGTCTGCGGGAAGCCTTTTGAAACAGCGTCAAGAAGCTTTAGGCCACGTCTGTTTTGGTTGCAATATGAAGGGGGTTTCTGGAGCTTTCCTCACTTCTGAGAATATTCTGAATTTTTGAAGCATAAAACGGAGCCGTGACAGTCTGCAGAGGTCCGTCTAGCAGGGACTTGGCAGTGGTGCTGAAATAATTGTGTGTTAATAAAATGCAGTTTGGTAGCAGAGTCCTGCTGCTGCCAGGGCTGTCACCGACACCCTGACAGCTCCGCGTGGCTTTGCCTTGGCAGTGCTGCTACGTAGCTGCTAACCTGTGCACCCCTTCCAGAGCGGGGTGCGCCTTACAGTACCAGCGCTGGAATTGCTCACTCAACCAAGTAACATAAAACACTACAATATATAGCCGTGGGCAGCAGTCTGTTTAATTGTACAGACAGGCTCGCTATAATTACTTCCTGCCCAACTGCTCAGGAGCTTTTAGCAAGTTACTGTCCTGCCCTTCCCTCCCAAACTTGGTAAGATCTTGAGGTTATAAGGCTGAGTGGTACGGAAACGTGAATTTCCTGAATCCTAAGGCTTATGACACAAATGAAAGAGAGGTATTTAATTACAGCTGAAGTGTGGCTTTTAATTCCTAATTATGCAGAGGTAGACATGTCATGAAGTGACACTGAAGGCCTGCTTTTTCCAGAAGAGGGTGGGTAGGACTGATCTTATTATTTGAAAAATTGACTGTACTACTACATTTCATGATCCCAACTTTTTAATTGGATTGTCACATTTTGCAACTTAAATGCCTTGCCAGTTGAATTTCCTGTGTGGTTGCCAACTTCTGTAGTTGAACCTTGAATAATAGCTTGTTTGGTGCTAAAGTTGTAAGTTCTGGCAACTCTGCTTTTGGTAAATTCACGTAAAACTGTACTTTGCAGGTTCTGTAGGGAAAGCTGAACTACACACTTGAAGAAAAGAAACAATGCAAGAAAGTGACAACTGATAGTTAAAAGGCATCTGAATGTTTCAGAACGTGCGTTGGGCAGCTGCTTGATCCCCTGGGTTGTCATTTTAATGAGAATCCCAGCATGATCTCATGTTAACAGGACTGCAAGAGAAGAGCTGCAGCCTGAGAAAAGGAACTAAAGGGCATTTCCACAGTTCTGAGCTCTAGCTAGTTAACTGTAGGGGGGAAAAAAATCCCTAAAAAAAGGTGTGGGGTGATTTTAGTGCTCTTGCATCTAGCTATACCTTTCTGTGAATATATTTGCCATACAGATCATTCCTCTTTGGTGGAAATATTTGCTGGCTTAAAGAGAACATTGCTGCTTTCTTTCTAATTATTTTGTGTTTTAAAGTGAATTTTCACTTTGAGTGTTGGCCTGAGTCCTAAAAAAAAAATTGTTATTGTTTTTTCTCACAGTTATCATAAATAGTAAGTGGTTCAGAAGGGCATTTGTTGCAGCCCAGTTGCTTATCTGCAATTGCAGCTGAAGTATTTAGCATTCTGTTAATGCCACTTGATAAAAAGTTCTCTGGAGCTTTGTCTTGATCAGCAGATCTGCTCTGCATGAAGTTGGGCTATAGTCCTTGTTTAACCAGTCCCTCTTCAAACTTTGCATTATGAAGAAGTTGAAAAGATTTGTAGTTCAACAAGATAAGCAGTAAGGTGGGAGGAAGTTGAGTACTCGGTTACTTCACGTTACGAGATGCTTCAAATGACACCAGCTAACTACAAACCCAGATTTGTTAAAAGGGAGTGTGTTTGTGGATCTCATAGTTAGAAAACATAATTTGAAGCAGTGAGTTTGGGAATGAATCAGGTCATCTACAAGTTAATAATTTATCCAGAAAGAGTATACTGATTTGTAAAGGCTTTTTTTTTTACAAGTAAATCTTCTCCCTTTGGGAATACTATTTCTTAATTGGCCACTGTAAAAATGTTTGTGTGGCCAGTTGAAGAATCTGGTATTGGCCACTGTCAGACAGGATCCTGGATTTGATGGACCACTGATCTAATTAAGTTTGCCTAGAGTAGAACTGTAGTTAAAGCTTTTTAACGGTCCTTTATCACTTACAGGCTCTTATCTTGCACATGCTTAGGATTGTGTTCTAGTTGATTGCTTTTAGGCCATTACAGGGTTTGCTTGAAGATGACTGGAGAGCACAGAGGCAGAAAGGGAGCTAGGAGTCATTATTGACTCCAAGATGAACATGGGCTGACAATGCGAGGTCACGGCTGGCAGGGCTAACCGTACCTTGTCGTGCATCCACAGACGCATCTCGAGCAGGGCCAAGGAGGTGATCCTCCCCCTCTAGGCAACACTGGTCAGGCCACAGCTGGAGTATTG